CTATCGACACGGTGACAAGGTCTAGCGAAGAGTTTTATGTTGCGCAGGACAGAGTCGAGCCAATTATTTTTGGTCGCGCGTGCGAACAGAGATTCTCGCTGCCATCGTCGTTTTCTTGAAATTTATTAATTTTGTTTCGCTCTCGGGAGACAGTGTCTCGACGCGCGAGTGCGATGCGCTCGTAATCTCGGGTCAAAAGATCGCGATACGCTATCGACACGGTGACAAGGTCTAGCGATGAGTTATGTTGCGCAGGACAGAGTCGAGCCAATTATATATTTATTCTTAAGAAATTAATAATGATAATAATAACAATAATAATAATAATTCGACTTATTTCCGTTATTTTTGTTCTAATAAATTAAATAATTTAAAGAACGCGTATATTCTCAATACGGATACCGCACGCGAAGACGCTGTCGCGATAACGCTGTCGCAGCGCGATGTAACGCGATACCGCGCGAATAAGGAAGGAAGCGACGAATTGAGAAAGCTGAATTAATCGCTTTTTAGATATTTATATACTTATTATTATTTATTTATTTGTATACACTCTTATTTATTTGTTTATTCGAACTCATTTATACTCAATAAAAAAGAAACACATTAAGGCATAAAAGTTAAATTAATAATAATTTGTATATCTATTAATTTTTTTATTTTTTATTTATTTTTTATACTTAATTAATTAATTAATTAATTATTTTAATTTTTTAACATGAGCTCGATGTCGCCGTCGAACGCTGACGGTATGTGCGTTATATAATACCGCGAAGAAGGAAGGAAGGAAGGAAGGAAGGTAAAAATGAGAATACTGTTATATGTAGAGGTTTAATATGCTTTTATTTTTTATTTTATTTTGTTTACATTCTTAAAAATATATGATTATTTTTCACATATCGTTTATAACTTATAATTTTATAAAATGAAAAAATTTTTACTATTGTAGAGTTCCACGCCTCATTACAAAAATGATAACAGATTCGTCATCGCTATCATCGCTATCATCCATCCTTCGTTTTCTCATTCTACTATTAATTTCCTTAGCATCTCTTTCATATGCTCTTGTAGACGCAATCAAAATGTCTAATACATTACTTAAGCGGGCGATAACATCAGTAGTACCACGTCTGTAACAGAAGAACATATAAATAATAAATTTATACATATATAAGAACAAGTAAATAATAAAGATAAAAATACTTTTCAATAATTTCATGAAGATAGAATATCTATTTAAAAAAAATAATTTTTGTCATTCGTTTCTATCAAGGCTAAAACTTAGTATCAGTATTTTCTCATCTCAATTGCAACATTATTTAATTGTTAACATACATTAATAATGCATTGTTGATATTTATACGTAGTATATTATAAACTAACCTATTCAGCTTCCTCGTCCAGCAGGCAGATGAGGAGGAGGCATAACTCCTCCACATCATCCACCTGCAGGAGGTCCATCACAAAGTGAATGACGTCGTCTGGGTCGACCTCGTTGAAATTCATGGGAGGAAGATCGTTCTCTTCCTCCTCGTTCTCCTCTTCTTCATCCTCTACAGGAGAGGGTGTAGAAGGGGATGTAGCAGAGGTTGCATGAGGAGGATCATCCTCCACCTCCTCGTCAGCGTTGTAGTCCTCGTAGTCTTCATCCTCCATCTCAACATCCTCCACTACAACCTCCACTATAATCTCCACCTCCTCCTCCTCTTCCTCGTTTTCGAATATTTTAATCGGATCCAGTAAATGCATGATGTTTGATGTTACGTACGCGTAAGTAGTTTAGGTATTCACAAAAACACGCAACCGTTCAGATCGTTAATGCACAAATATGATTTGATTCAATCTATTTAAATAGTCGAAAGATGGAAAAAAAATAGCGAAAATCGCATAGCACGATGTGTAATTTTTGTCGGAAAAACGTGAAAAAATACATGTCGCGATGACACTTTGAACGAGATTTTGCGGAAATTGCGAAAAGTCTAAGGAAATAAATCGTAAAGTTGTCGGAAAACCATGAAAAAATACATGTCGCGATGACACTTTGAACGAGATTTTGCGGAAATTGCGAAGGAAATAAATCGTAAATACAAGAGGTCACATCTGGTGGCATATTGAGTGAAAAGATATTTATTTATTTTACATGATTTATCTTATTCCTTTAATTAGTCAATACTTAATTTAGACATCGCTTAACAATAGTTCGTCTTTAAAACAAGATAATAAAAAACAAAATAAAGAAAGTAGATAATAAATATAAATGTGTTACACGTTTTGTCGTCGAAAAGATCATTCGTACAGTATTCATTTATTCCTGCGAGTCTTCGTAGAAAATTGACATTATATTTACACACGATTGAAAAGTCGTATATGTATATCATCTCTGAAACGATGATAAAAACCTTTTACTTATAAATGTTAATTATAATGTCTAAATTAAGTAGTGACTAATTAAATGTTTTATTGTTTAAAAGAATACCTTTGATTCATATCACCCTTGAAATCATTTATTTATTTTTCAGAATATTTGTTGTTGTTTTATTATTTATAATAAACTAGAAGAAGAAGCCTATAACGGTCGAAGCTAGATGAACGTGCTTATAATAATTGTGTGAAATTTTATATACTGCGTATGTAGTCCCCCCCCGCGACGCTGATAGATTTTCAGCATTGACGCATACATATTCACTACCGCAGTAATATCACTAAGTTAAATTAACAAGCAATTTAACAAATTTGATGCCATAGCATCTTATAGATCTTAATACTATGTTGAAAGACATATATTAAAATTTAACGATTTTTATTATTAATTTAATGTAAATTAAATTAATAATAAATCAAATTCCGTGAAAAATAAGATTGCGAAGAATATAACAAGTTGGCGTTTCGTCCCGGCTTCCACTACTGGACTCATCAGTAAGGTAATGTAGTGGGAGCCTACCTTAGACG